GACCTTAATTCCGAGTAACAGGACAGGAGACGATGCGGATGGTCAGGATCCTTGGTCGCCACCCAGGTTCCGGTCCTTGAAGACGCCCCTGCTCGACCTCCCTCGGAACTCGTCCTTAGACTCCTCGTCATCCCTTTTAGATTCCGCAGGAGGCGAGGGAATCTTGTTTATCTAGGTCGGCTTTATTAACTCGGGGAAACCCGGACCTTGACAAACAAGTCCAGGGAGATGGACCCAGAGGTCCTTTGAAGACGAGATAGTGGAGGCGCGTCCACCGCGCGTTACCACGGATTTACGCGTACCCACCATCTTCTCTTAGATGTCTTCAGGTTTTTGTCACGGTGAAGACTGCAACCCGCGACTGACTGCAGGTGATTAAGATCAAGGGGGGATAATGCCCCAGCGTCCTGGCGACGCTCCTACTGGTCGCTCGACCTGGGATCCTTCCCGATGCCCCCGGCTCTTCTCTTCGTGGCTGTATCGCGTCAACTTTAATTTTCCGAGTTTCGTCCCGGAACGCGCGGACTCGGGAAGGAAATTAGCTTTCCTCCGCGATATTATTCCGCGTGTCTCGCTCTCGGAGGACGCCTCTCGCGCCCGAGGTGAGGATTCTTTAATCGGGTCCTGGAAGATGCGCCATCGCGAGGTTCTTGGATCAACTCTGGTCAGGACTCCTATCTCCACCCACCCCACCATTCACTCTGTACAGAATTTTTCCTAAAAGTGATTTCATTAAAAAAAAAAAAAACCGAAAATACAGATAGATATGCCTTACTTCTGGATCTCTAAATCGAGAACTGCGAGGAGTCTGAATCGAAATCTTGCGATTTCTTCGGGGGTGACCACGTCATCCAGTCTGCAGGGTTTTACAAAATTGTCCGACGACAGAGAGGCGTTGAATACGTAATTTAGAGTATGTAGACGGCGAAGTGACGATAACGCGCGCGCTCTGGAGGTGGCCGACTTCCGGGTCGGCCATAAAACCATAAAGGAAGCTCGTAAAGTAGCCGACCCCGGCACGGCTGTTTGCAGTTGCGAATGGCCAAGCCTGGACAGGCAGCTTCGCAATTCCAGGATCCTCGGCGTTATCGTTCGAATCGATCTATCGCCTCCAGAAGTCCGATCTATGACTCGGCGATCGCCTCCGATCGGGAGACTTCGACGCCGCGCGACCTGCACAGGACATGCGCCGAAATCCCGCGTTTTATCGAGATTTATATTTTTTTGCACACTCAACACATAAAATATTGGAATTTAACACACCGTCAGATTGACTACCCTCTGCCACACCCGTAGATAAGTTAAAAAAATGTAAACTAAATACTATTCACTCAATGGCGATTTTTTAATTTTTCCTTTAAATTCCTTTAAATAAAAAAAAAAAATTAAATTAAATTAGAGATCGTCGTTTCGAAGTCAGAGTCAAGGGCGGTCGAAATCGGCGCGATTCTCCCCACCGGGGGCGGAAAGTTCATTTTCATTCCACCCGGGATGGGAACTCCTGATTAGCCGAAGGCAACCGTATCCCGAGGGCTCCGTGATTGGTCAAATTGAAATTTAAGGTTAACCCAAGTTTTAAGTGGGACCGCGGCGTGGCGGGCTCTAAGTTGCGGTTAAACCGAGTTGCCAACTTAAGCGACCTTAATATCTCGGAGCGATATCGGTGGGGCGCAGATTATCGGGGAACATCGTGCTCCTAATCCTCGGGTCTAGCTTCCACGAGAACTCGCCTTCCTGTCCGACGTCACGCTTGTGTCAAGACAAGTGTCGCACTTCCAGCTCGGGCAAATAAACGCCCATTACGGCCCCACCTGAGCCAACAAATCCGGTATATAAATCCGTTTCTAGTCGTAGTCGGAGTAGGCAAAGCGCGTTCGTCTACGCTTCCGCACGTCTTTCCACCACTTTTTGTCTCGATTTGCGATCCCGGAGCCATGGCATCCTTCAAAGTGACGACGTCGGTGGTCATCGTGGCGACCATCTTCTTGCTTGGCCTAGCCTCCGATACCGAGGCCGTTGACGAGAGCGGACCCTGCGGATCCAGTGCCTGCGGTTGGGTGGTCTACAACCTGGAGGGCCACAACCGCATCCCAAATTACGCCATGAAGAACGTCTGCACCTGTCCCGAAGGTCTTTCCTGCACACACAACGGCGAGGAATTGCTCTCCCAGAACAGCTACGTCTTCCGGTGTCGCGTGAAAAAGGATGAAGATATAGAATTCCCCGGAAATTGGGGTCTCACCGTGTACTAGGACATGTTTAATTCAGAGTCCACTGGAAATAAATGATTCTTCATTGCTGTTATTCTTAATTTCGCCGGATTTCCGAGTGCCACGTCGACGTCGACGTCTTTGACAGGTCGCTCTTCAGGGTAGGTGGAACTAGGGTTGGTCTCCATAAGTAGATCGGAGTACGACGAGCCGCGAAGGTGGTCTCGGCTCGACCGGCTCTCGGAAGTTCCTAAGACGGTAATTATTCACTGCTGAGTCCTTTATAATAGTGACAAATTACTACCCCGTCTCGTGCCCAGCCTCCGCTTCCCTGGGGGGTGCCAACCCCTTTCTGCCTGCCTGGAGGGTGACTTACGAGGCTAACGATTGTTTAACTCGCGATTTCCAGGTAGTATATCCCGTTCGGCGATTGAAACGTCAGTTCGGTAATAGTCGGTGAATTATAAGAGGAGGAAAAAAGGGAGAGCCCCCCTGCGGAGTCGATCCCGAAGAGCGGGACCCCCCAGGGAGGAACCCAATTTCCAGAAGACGGCCCTGGAACCAATTCGCCGATATCCACGAGTCGCCATTATTTGCGAATCACTAATATTAATATTCGATATAACTTCCGGGGAAATTGCGGACTCTCGGCAGATCCCTTCTCCGAGTTCTCGGCGTTCATTCGCATCGTTGACCTCGATTTTCCCCCAGGGAGTCGACTCCCAATATCGGCCTCCGGCGAGGTATAAGGCGAACCGAGAGCGACAGACCAGGAATAGCTGTTTGTAAGTCGCTCCTGATATATGTCTCTCTCTTTTGCTCCAATCCTGCCTCCGCAGGACCTTCCCCTCACCCTCGACTCGCAATTCTGACAGCTCCTAGCTTCTTCCTCTTCCGGTCTCCAGGAGCCATCCAAGCGACAGGTCATCTTTGATGTGAACCCCTCTTTGCGTCCAGCGTCCCAAAATCTCGATTTTTCAGTTTTTCCCAGATAGCGAGGTCGAATTCCTTCTTGGTCCGGTTTTCTGGTCGCGTCCATTTAAAGGACGAATCCACGTCAAATGGCGAACAACGTCAGGATTACGCTCGCAATTACACGGGAATGCGATTCCGAGAGCGACAGACAGGACGCGCTTGGTTGCAACCAGACTTTGATATACGCTCCTGTGCAGACCCTGAAGAGGGACCGGAGGTTTCCTCTCTTTCTGCGCGACTTGCAGCCATGGGGCTCTTTCGGGCCTTTGAAGTAGTCTCTGTAAAGTGGCCATCTTTGAGGATGATCCGCTCTTGGCGCTCGGCGAGGTCCTGTACTTCCTCGTGGTTAGCTCGGCCGCAATTTTATTGAACGACCGTTTTATCCCGAATGATTTTTTCCCCCCAGGAATACCTACTCCAGGACTCGGATCCATCTGGTCCCCGACGTGTACTGGCTCAAATCCTTCGTGAGAATTTTTTATCTCGAGGGAAAATGAAATTAAAAAAACTTTCGCGGAAATTAAGGAGCCGAGTCGGCGACAGTCCAGGAGGAAGTTGAGTTAACGTCGTCCTTGCTCGTCTCCTCGTTTCAACCGCGGATTCCTGTTCCGAGGGTTGAGTTCCGACTCTTTCCGTCCAGCGTGTCGCCTCAAGGCTTTCTCGGTTTTCGCCTTTGAAACGGCCCGCAACACGACCAGCCTTGAAGACGATCCTGTTTCAACGCGATACCAAGGATGCGGATCTCCCTTCACGGGTCCTGCAGGATCGTCTTCCTGGAAGGGTCCATCACTGGGCTTTTTTTCCCCAGGTTCTTCAGGGACCTCTTTGTCGAGTCTCTCTATAGAGGGGCGTTTCCGAGTGCAGGTGCAATTCGCAGGAGCAGCTGAAAGTGCACATCCACTTCGGGGAAGTTGACATTCGCGGAGTCTGCGATCTCCAAGGACGTCAATAAGCACTCCTGGAGGCAGGACGAGTCGTCGGGCCAATCTCGTCGTCTCTGTCGTCCCGCAAGGAATACAGGATGGAGCCTGGGGGATGGGGCGGAAGGCAAGGGGCGAAGGTGTAGATCAATGAATTCTGCCTCGGGAAATTCTAGATGCCTTCCAGCTTCCACATCCTGCAGACGGTGGAATAAGGTCTCAGGGTTGCCTGCCTCGACGATTCCGCTCCTACAGGTGGATTCGCAAAGTTGGGCAACTCCAGGATCGACGCCACCCCTGCAGGTGCATCGACTCCATTCAGATCCACCTGGGGGGTCCACCTTGGTCCTTCTGGGGCGAGCTAGGATCGCGTTTCTCGAAAAATCAGAATCCGTCCCATTATTCAAGTAGGATCACGCCGGGGCCAGATTTGCAGACAAATTTCCACCAATTTTTACCCAGGATGTTATATTCCCCGGCATTGCGGGTGGATGTCCATAATTGATTGCTCACCGACCGGGTGGAGAACGGCACTCGTGTTGGCCCCTGACAAATACTCGTGATACATCAACTTGGTAACATGACGGGCTTCCGGATGCAAAGCGAGCCTCCCATTAGCCGACATAAAGCCCGACTGATAGGAGCCTTTAAGCCCCGAAGAGACCTCTGCATAAAAGGGCGTTGATAAAAAATCCTTCCTTTGACGACCCTGCCTGCTCTTCCGATCAGCTGGAGGGAAATCTCGAAACTTCGGAATCCCTGCACAGTCCGAGGGTCACTGTTAAAAAAATGTCCCACGATTTTAATTCATTGATAATATCTTTGTTGGACGTTTCCCTATTTATTCAGCATTCGATCGATCTTTAATGCGTCGCCATTGCCATTTTTGTTCCAGGTGTCCTGGGTCCGCAAGAGAGGAGACGAGCTCCTTCTCCTCACGTTCGGCATACAGGTGTACTCCACCGATTCCCGCTTTTCCCTGGAATACCTGACGCCGAACGACTGGCGTCTCCTCTTGAGATCCGCGACGGAACGCGACGCAGGGGTCTACGAGTGTCAAGTCAGTGCGCATCCCCCATTAGTCAGGGTGGTACACCTGGCGGTCTCTGGTGAGTGACAAGCACCCTATTAATTATTAATATCACCATTTCATCATAAACGTACGTAATAAATTTAAAATCCAGGTGTAATAATTATCCCACGGAATTTCACAAAATGCCCATGGGATAAAATTACAAATTTCATAATGAAATTAAACTCATGATATGCGCACTCACGTATAAGGCACCGAATTTGCAATGCCACCGCAACCGAGTAAAAAATGTCAGGAATTTCGTGGATATTTTTAACAGGGTACACAAGTTCATATCTACATTGGGTGAATTCTCGTCCACCTCGCATATCACGGATAGCGGTCTGAAAATCCTTGAAGGGAATTCCGGGGAATTCTAGAGAAATTCAGGACAGGGACTCGTTCGCTCTCCATCGGTCCAGGGATACCGCAGAGCTCCTTTCCACTTGCGAAACCCTTCCAAAGAAATAGAGACGAAAAGAGGAAGAAAAAAAAAAAATGAAAAATAGGAGAAAAATGGAAAGCAGCATTCAAAACGTCGAAAAGTCCTGGCAGTCATTCCGCGAGCTTCCCCTCGAGCTCCCCCCTTTTAATCGATGCCGGCAGGCATTGTCGGTGGATAACAATAAATCCGATATCGGGAAGCCGGGAGTCTCGCTCGCGATGAAAGCGATCGTCGTCGACGGTCTTTAAGCCGTCCGAGGGGGAGGACCAATAGGTATCCTTCTCCAGGGGAAAAGCTCGAGGAGCGTCGCGGCTCGTTCCCTTCGAGCCAGGAACAATGGTGATCGACGACAATTGCGGAGCGATACCTTTCCCCTCCTCTGCCCACCCCCGTATTTTCCCGTCTTTCCTCCCCATTTGAGCGACCGACTTTCCCCCTATTTATCGCTCAGGTGGCGGAGATCTCCCCGTTGCCCGTAATCGAGCCGATTGTTCGGCAGCGCGTGGCCGATCTTGGGGGCTACCCCCCGCGAAGACCCCCAAGGTGCTCCATAAAGAGCCTCGGTATCAACCTCGATCCCCGTGCATGCATTAATGCGGACACGCGTGTTCCCGTTATTGCACCCCGTCTAGGTGTACCTCGATTAAATATGCAAGGCATATAATGGCCCTCTCAAAGCCGAATTACGGATCCCAGTCGCGAGTCGAGAATCGAGACCGATTAGCACCTCGAGACGGCTTCAATACCCGATTTGAGGGATATCGGGAGGATCCATTAGGGGTCGTTTATATGCAGGAAAATATTTGCATTAAATATAACAGCCCTTTTAAAGTCGTGCTTACCTGCAATTGTACGCTTTTCGACGGCGACGGAGAGGATTATCGAGAAGCGGAGGCGCGGGTGCGTTTTGTCCGCCCACCCCTTATCCGGCCGATCGGTTCGATATGGCCGATCAGTCGCTCTGAAAGTCGATACGCGGCCCGATTTCATCCCCGACTTGTACATCCCGCGGAAACCGTAATACGTTATCGTTATACAGTTATACCCCCCTCAGGGGTGGAGGGTGGGGCAAAGACGGAACCAATAAGTCCATGGAAATGGAGGCATTTTTCAGTCACGAGCCACGGATAGATAGACTCGGGTATTAGGTATCTGCTTATGAAATATCCGACCGGAATATCTGCTCTGGGGGCGGCATAAATTCCGCGTCGCGGAGGCTATGGGGTGTTCTTCAGGGTTGGAGGTGGGTTGTCGAGGTTGCGGCGAACGGCGCCAGGGGGATCGCTGAAACTTTAGGGCAAACTTCCAGGAGTTGTCCAGGGTGACGCGAAAGACTCCACGTGTCCTCAAAAATATTTCCTTGGACTTGGCCGATATTTCCGATATTCTTATCGGTCGTATCGGTGGAGCTGGAAATCTTATTTATGGGGCGTTGCGTCGCTTCAGGATTACGCCACGACTCGTTCTCCCGGGGAAATTGTTAATCAGTGCTCCCTGGAACCGACTCTTGGGAAAGGGAAATAAAAATAAGGGAGAATATCGGGAGAACCTTCGGCTGCAAATCGAGAAAGTCGGCTAGTTAGGGCGCCGTCCTCGGCAAGAATTTCCAAGACGTCCCCGAAGCTCCGGGCGAGCTTTTCTTACGTAAGCAGATGCCTCTAGGAGCATTTCCTCGGCACGGGGTTGGGGATTCGTGACGAGCTTACGGAGCTAGATCCTCGGAGATGGAGATGACAGGCCGAGATGCAAGCCCGACGTACGTGGGGAAATGTTTAACCTCGTTTTTCCTACCGGCGCCCTATACCCGAGGGACTACTTGGCCTGATGATTTTCTTCAAGCAGTTCGTTAGTTCGAGATTCCCCGGGACTGGATCTAAACTTGATGCCAAAGAGCCCTTGATGGACAATTAGAATATACAATGGTCTCTTCAGGTTCATCCGATTGACTTCGCCGAAGAGCTCCACGTGTCCAAAAATTCTCCCCTATCTCCTCGTACTTCAAACCTGGCACCTCCACCCCGACGCCTCGAAACTCCAAGAAATAAAATCTCTTCGGTCTTTTCGGGTCCTCGAACTTTTTCTTCAGGATTGCTTTCACATTTTCCCGAAGCCGGAGGGGGATAATCGCAGTTTCCGACTCTCCCTTTCCGTCCCGAGAAGTTGTCTCGCGTAATTCGGGGATGTCAACGGGGTGGAGGCGTCGCTAAAGTTTGGACACCTTGACCATTGGTCAGCCGTCGCGTTCTTCGGGGGCTGGAACTTGCGAAATAATTCCGGCGAGCCGGCGAAAGATGGGCGCTCGCACCTTCGAAAGCTTCATTGCTGGCAAGCGTTCAAATAGTTTCGAACTTAAATCCACGCAGGGGGCCCCCTCCCCCTGTTTCTTGTCCCCCTGCTGGTCGCCGTCTTGGCAGTCTGAGGAACTGGAGCACTTTGGTGCAGACCAGGCTCGATAATGGTCGTCTAGACTCGCCGATAGATTCGGCCGGATCGCCAAATTGACAAAGCTCCGAATTCGGAGCTTACTCAATCCCCCCATCCTCGACTCCCCATTAAGCTAAACCATCTGCAGCTAAGAGGGTGCCCCCTCGTTTCAATTTTTTAAAGAGACATTTCTTTAAACCCCCATTTCCATAATTTTCCAATTTCGGTCGCCCGTTTCCCTCGTTCGCTCGAGATGACAAGAGTTAGGAGAACCGACACAAGTGACAAATGGAAAATGCAGAGAACGTCCCCTGGGATATCCTCCCTATAATCGACCTCCCCCTTTTATGGGGGTTGATCGGCCCGGTTATCAGCCCAAGTGGGTCAAAATTTCAAATTCGAGCGGCATTCCCTCTTTTCCGGACGTGCAGGAAATTCTCACGTACCCTGTATGCGAGGTCATGTACATATATCGGTGGGAGGAGGAGGGGCAATTGAATCAAAAAATTACGGAGCGATCCGGCGGACGAGACAATTTTCGAAATTCCACTTCTCTCTTCTTTTCATCTCTCCTGTCCCCTGGAGGGGGAATTTGGTTCTCTCTCTCCACTTTTCCTTGGATTAAACGTTTCCGCTCGGGCCGATCGAGTGTCGGGGGTCTTGAGGCGGCCGTACGTGCGGAAAATCCGCGCGGGGGGTTATAAATTCCGGGCCGGTTATAAGAATTCGCGGAGAGGAGAACGCGCGGCCGATGGATGCGGAAAGAAGGGGACCGGAACGGCACGGAAGAACGCCCGGCCGAGGGCTTGCAAGCTCTGGAAAGCTTCGCGTGCACTCGCCGGGAATAAATCAGCTCTTGCCAATACCGGGCGTTACGAGCTTTTATTACACGCCGCAGGAAGCTTCGTTTTTCGACTGAGAATTTCGGAATTTCGGAATATCGGCCCTCCGCCCGATCGAATTCGAATTTCATTCTATTTAGCTATTTCTGCGGAAGATAGGCTCCTTACCTTGGTACTTCGCGTATTTTGCAAATTCCCCAATTCAAACAATTCTTTTCGCAATGGTCTCCGCGTTCTCCGCTCATGGCGCAATTGCGCGATTCTGTGAAAGCTTTATATTCTCCTTGGTAAAAATCGACTGCCTCTATATCGATGCACGCGTTATTTTTTAACGACGCGATTTTTTTTCGACGACGACGATTTTTTTTCGCGGTTTTCTGGATTTGTTAAATTTTTTTTTTTTTCCCGAGACCACACCGACCTCCACGTTGGTCTTCGCGTCCGCCACTTACGGCGCGTCACGGCGCATCGGCGGGCATAATTTCATTTTCAATTTAAATATCAATTAAACCGCGGCCGGACGCGCGTCAGCGAGAGTGACGGGCTGCCTCGGAGCCGCGTTGCGGTTTTGTGCATATAATAACGCTTTCCTCTGTCCCGAATTCCCCTTTTTTCGCCTTTAAAATTCACCCCGCCACCGACGGGAGAGGACGTCAATCGCGCGGCTTCCCCGCGGCGGAATCGCGGTTCCCGTGTCACGGGATGGGACGGAAATCGCATTTTTCGACGTTCCAGGATTCCCAGGTAGGTTCGAAAAGAATAATGTCCCCGTAAATAATTATCCTAACGAGGTTGCCTTTTATTCATACCCAGGCGTAGAAACGTCATCTCGAGTCGGACCATTTGGGGATTTCCTAATTTCCCAAATTTCCCCGTTTCTCGGAGTTTTAGTTGGACAGGTATCGATGGTAAGGCGACCTCCAGGTCGATCCGGAAATAAGCTCGGGCTTAGCCAGAAGCCAAAGTCTCTTCCGAGTGTCCAGGGAGGCATTCCGCACCAATTTCCGCGGGACAAGCGAATCGGACATCGCAAGGCGATGAAAGGACCAACAAAGAGGGGACGGGATTCAATATTTCCCCTTTGCGGGTTTCCCGACGCGGAATTGCCGGATGATTGGGAACTGCCAGAGAATATATCCCCGCGATCCGGATATTCTTAAATTAATATGATTATTTCTTAAATTTTCCACTTCGGCTCCGAGTACTCGACGTGTTTGTTATCCATACTAGAAAAAAAAAAAAAGATTTGATTGATGTCGCATTTCAATAAAAAATCAGTGGTTATTCAGGAAGGAGAACTGAAGATTTTTTTAGTGGACAGGAAAC